GTCTTTCTCTGCCGATCGTGTCCGGGTTTTGTGATCTGTCCTTACTTCGGCCGCTGTAGGTAGCCTTTTGGGACCGGAGCTGAAAAAGAACCTGTCTGTGGCAGAAACATGGTGAGCTAATATTTTCATTAGCACCTTATGCTAAAAGCTACGGCTAATTTTTTCGGCCCACACACATTGAAATTGTAATTTGTTGAACGCTCGTCTGGTCGTTTTCTGTGGTTGTTGATTCTAGCCGAGGTAGATGTGGGAGCGTTTTCATTCCATATCGAGTCAAAAACAGGGAGCTTAGCTTTCTGTTTTAATGTAGCCAAGAGGACMGTGTTCRTCTTAGGTGAGTGTAGGCAGTTTAAAAATGCTTAAACTGCTSAGRGRAAATGTAATTTTCCGTCTTGTTTCTATTGAGGAGACAATTGTAGGCTAGAAGTCATTTCAAGTGACGGCCGTCCCGACCTTCGTTTGAGAAAGTCGCTTAGGTAGTGCACTGCGCACGAGTTTTCAGCCAAAGAATGCGACCAGCGGGTCTTTTTGAGCACAGGCCATGGTAAACAAATGCGGCGCTGGAAGCCGTGAATAAGTGTCTGCGGGTRTGGAGTTTGATAAATTAGCTTCCCGGACGGTGGTTGTTTTCAGTTTTAAACAGCTCAGCCGCCTTCTGTGATCGCTTGTGGAACGTGATTCAAAGCTTAAATCACAAAAAGAAAAAAAAAATTTAAATGAGCTTTCAACTGTTTTTTTTTTCAAGACCCCAGTTTTATTCTTCTGACGTTTATATAAAACACAAARTTCATCTACTTGAAAACAACTTTTCCTAACTATGGTCCAGTAAAAACTTGCAGGACATCAGTGAATTTTATTTAGATTCTGCAGAGCTYGGCCAACCTGAAACCCACCTCGACGGCTCCAGGCGTCGGGTGTCGAAGCACCAGGACGTCGGCGTAGCAGCTCATGGTCTGGACCGAGTCGGACAGAGACTCTCCTTTCTGCGAGGATGACGTGGACTCGCTGAAGTGGACGACCGAGCCGCCCAGACGCTGCATGGCTGCTGCGAAGGAGCTGCTGGTGCGAGTGCTGACTTCATAGAACATGGARGCCATGACTTTACCCTGGACAGAGAGAACCGGACGTTAAACACACTTTAAAAAAGGAAGCATAAATGTCATTAAATACCATCGACAGCAGGTTTTCCACAAATGAAGACAAGACGGAAATACTTGGGAGATACCTTCAAAATTTCAAGGCTTCGCTCCTTCTGAACCATCAAGCGCAACGTGTGGGCGACATTAAAAAGGTGCGACATCTGAAACATAAATTGCAGAAATTATATTTAAAGTAAATAAACCTCTCTCTGCTGTTCTGTGTTAAAATATCAGAGCGGTTCATGAAGCACCTGCTCTTTGCTGAACTGGCTGACGGTCAGGATGTGCTGGCCCACCAGGGGGTGCAGCAGAGGAGACATCTGCAGATGGGACACCTGGGACACACTGGTCTGTCTCGGCTCAGACAGAGGAGACAGCAGCCTGGACAGAGGTGGAGGATGGCTGTAACCGTCGCTGGCACAGGCCAGTGGAAGCATGGTCATATCTGCAGGAATCAGAGCGGCATCATGGTGAYTACTCAATTTAATAAACACACATTTCAGATATAATGCATTAAAACTGTTACTTTTTCTAATTTTCTTATAATTAACATGTATCATACGGTTTATTACGTTCAGAAATGTGCTGAATAAACACAGCTAACCAGTCAGCTTCACTAACCTCTAATCAATAAACAAGAATCCAGTGGTGGGCACCAGTCTGCTAAAGAGCAAATCCGCCAATTGCGGACCTAAATATTTCATTAGTGCTTTAGCGGTCTTACTAATTTTTTTAATTCATAAGCAGATTTGCGCTTTCTAAAATTAAAATGCAGTACCGCTAATAACTAATTATCACCAGTCATCATTATGTTGAACAGCAGAAGGTATGGCTGTCAATGAATCACAACATGTGATCTATCCAACAGCACCCCTCCCAGATAAACACTCTTATTGTGAAGGTATACATCCTGCTGACTGTTGCTTTGGGTCACGGTTCTGATTTCCCACAATGCTTTGTGTCTGCTTATGTAGCAGGAAGGCAAYAGCAAAAACAGTTAACGTTTGTAATCCGTACTAAAATTTTGTTTGTATTGATTTATTTTACTTTACAATCGGAGCTCCTTTTTTAAAAAATAAAAATAAAAAGTTTAAACGCTGGAGCTCAATACTTGACGTAATTGGTCAAAACAATCGGCCAACAGTGTTACGAGACTCAGAAATGATTTAAAGATGTTATGCTGATGAAGACTGACATCTAGTGGTCAAGTGGAGCAACTACATGGAAAACTTTAAAATTCAAGCTCTTATTTTGAAGTTTGCAGATAAGTTTCCTGTTCTCCGTGCTTCCGTTTCCCGTCACAAATCAAATCCGTCATGTACCCAGAATGCATCGCTTCAGTTTTCCAGTACACAGTTTTAAAATTACTTTATTGATGCTTCTTTAATGAAAAATCTACAACAAACAAAAGAAAAAGACAAAGAAGCAGCCGAACTAGCAATCCTCAACAACTTTTTAATTTTTACACCAGGAGCTAAAGGTCTGTTTCAGGAAATCACATCCCCAGCAATAGGCGGTTGTAGAATTAAGTTGTAAAATAGTTCATACACCACTAGTCGGCAGTGTTGTGCATATATTGTACATGAATTGTTGCCAGCTAGTAAGTGTCAAATTGAACTTGTGCTTTAAAATTAGCTTCCACTAGTTTTTCTATGGCATAAGCGCTTTTGAAATTGCGGAGCTAATTTTTGGATTAGCGCTGCCCACCACTGCAAGAATCTTAGTTCCACTGAAGCTAAAATGTATTCATCTCCTTCCACTTGTGAGTTTTTACAGAACAGCACATCTTTATAAAGACTGTAGGAGTGCAGAAACTGTTTTTGTCTTTTGTGTCACTCTTTGTAGAATACAAAAAAAACAAAAAAACCAACAAAAAAAACAAAACAGATTCAGGCTGTAATATATGGAAGACCATTAAAACCACACAGTGAAACTTATGATTTTAATCACAGATCTCTAAGGAAAAAGAAGTCAGAACTCAGAAAAAAACCCACATTTTTCTGCTCTGTGGTCCTAACCCTACTCAATCGTTAAGTGTAGTTCATCTGTTCTGTAAAATAAAATAAAAAGCTTGTAAAATGAAAATTGAAGTAAGTTTAACTAGAATTCTGTTAAACGAGTTTCATTAAAAATGATACAGCTAAAAAAAATCAAAGTAATTTCCAATTATTTGACTTCAAATTAAAAGTATTTCTTGGATCGAGTTTGTATTTTTATAAAAACTGAAGTTGGTCAAACAGCAAATATTTTCTCTACAATATTTTATAAKTAGTCATTTTTTTATCTCAATATTGTTGACGCTCTTAGTTTGAAGTTTAGCTGCTAAAGATGCTACATGCTACACATGTTGCCTGACACGTCCAGCACAGGGGATAGTTTTATTCAATTGGAGATAAACAGCATAAAAATAGACRTTTTACACTTGTCAATCTTAGCRGACTGAAAGCAGAACCTAATTTAGAGGGAGCTAATCAGTCTGCTAATGGTTTAAAAATTAGCAAAAAAGCTAATCYGCTAAAAGAGAAGCTAGTTACGCTATTAGCRTTTTAGCAGAACTGTGCCCACCACTTATCCATTGTTATGGTTTCTTTTCTTACAAAAAGACTACTTTGTGACTCAAGGCATTATGGGAGTTGTAGTACCGGGGGGCAGTCCGGGATCGGAGGAGCGGTGGATGCGAGGTGGAAGCAGGAAACGAGACTCTCCAGTAGAGCGTCGAGGACTTGGRGGTCGAGTTCGAACGTGTCCCTCACGGGGAGGAGTCGGCCGTGCTCGCTCTGGAGACTGACAAAAAAAAATAAAATAACGAGCACTGTGTGAAAAAGCTTAATGCTACAAGCTAAATATTATTAGGTTTCATCACCAGTGGGGTTTCCTTGACAGGCTCAGCTGGGGGGATCACAGAGACGGACCAAGTCTTTACGTCTTCACCATAACCAGGAGGTACCAGCACCTGCAGGAGACACACTTGTAACAGTTTCCTACAAAATAAGAATCAAATAAAGCAGATGTGTAACAGAACGCTGACCTGGCCGTCGATGTACGCCACCTCTCCTCGGAGGACCACGCGACGGACTTTCCCCTTCACTTTCATCCCTTGGAAAGGGGTCCATTTGGATTTTGTGAACTGCATGGTCTGAGGAACAACCCACTCCTGCTCCAGATCCACCTGAAAGACTTGAACATCAGCACTGTGTTCATTACAGCCAAGAACRCTGGTCTTTGTTGACCCGTACCTCCACGTAGGTGTTCTCCTGCACGGGCAGGTTAAAAATCTTGCGTGGGTTGTCATAAAGACGTTTGATGATATCATCCAGAGTCAGGCGGCCATCGCTGACGGCGGTCAGSAGCAGCGGCAGCATGGTTTCCAGGCCAGGGTAACCAGGAGGAGGACGCTCTGAGTTCTTCTCCTCCACAGAGTGAGGAGCTATCAACAGAAGAGGAACTAATGAGTGAAGCTGACGTCGTTTCTCCACCGGACGACTGAAAACCTCCGCTAACCGTGATCTGTGGCGAAGCAGTCGATGACGTCCAGGTGTTCCCAGAGCGCCTCCATGTCCTCGCGGGTTCCCAACATGGGTCGAACCTGCGCTCGTCCCTCGCCGATATCGGCTACGTTCTCCTCACACAGGAAGAGGTGATGAGGAGCCACCTCACACGTCACCTGGATGCCCTTCTGCTTGGCTGCCCGGATTATCAAGATCTGACAGCGACACAAGGAGTTGTGATTAAAAATAAAAACACAAACAGATGTTCTGCACTGTTTGGGAGAAYAAAAACGCTTCTTCACCTCCTCCTTTTTGGCCACGTGGCAGATGTGAACCGGCCGCTGGTAGAGCTGAGCCACCATCAGGATGGCGGCCACCGTCTGCTTCTCAGCGTGAGCTACGATGGGGATCTGCTTGGGCCACTTCTCAAAGTGCTTTAAAACAGAGACAGCTTGTTAGGAGGCATTTCCAAGTCAGATTAAGCAAAATAAACACTTATTCATCTGTTGGTTCTAAATACTGTTCATTTATAAAACAGTTATCAAGTTCCCCTCAGAATGTGGATCTACAGAAGTTTAGTTTTGATTATCTGTAACAGGGCTGGGAGATAAATCAATAATATATA